TAAAGAGCTTTGCAAGTGGATTTGATAGTTAAATCTGAACTGAGAAACAGAAACCCTTCCGAGGTAACCACTGAAGGTTTCTCACCTTGCCATCTCTGGTAGCTGATGGATCAAAAAAGGCCAAATTAATGTATGATAAACAAACATGTATATAATACTCTGTTTGATGATGAAATCTAAATAAAACATAAAATTTTCCTTTATATAGCTTTAATCCTCAAATTTCCTGCAACTTTACCAGCTCATGTATCTGTGGCACATACACACTTGAATGAGTCTAAGGCTAAGAGCACAGGAAAGCAACGGGAGAAGATAACGGTGAAACGCAGCAAGAATGAGACACCTGAGAACACAGACTTGCATGTTTTTACGGGGAGATTTTACTGTGGATTTAAGTATAACCCTCAACAAATCAGCTAGAGAAAYGTATGGCACATAGAAATTACTATGGAAAGGAAGATTGAGCCCCTAGATCCCCATCACAACACAATCCCACCACAGCTTGTACCAGGTAACCCGCAAAAAGAGAAGTGGGCTCCTGACACTTTTCAAGTTAAACCAACCTCATTTTTTCGTTGGGGTGTTATCAGGACACACAACAATTGTACCACCATCGGTAAGTWCAACTAATAACTGCTGAACAAACTTAAAATCCACTGCTGCTTGTGAAGGGAATTTGAGGCTCACCTGTCCCTGGGGAGGATTAGCTGACACCTAAACCTGTGCTGTTCAACAAGCCATAGCTGATGACAGTTCTAGCTCTATTTGCCTTCATAAAGTCTAAGCTACATCTCCCCTGAGATTACATTCCTATAAGCACATAGATTTAGATGTGCCCAAACAGCTGCATSCACACCTTTTCAGTTATTCAGAGCAGCTGCAGGACTGCATTCACACCCTCCCAGCCTGCAGCTGAATTCCCCTACAGYGGTGGCACACACACCCTTCCCTGARCCCTGGGAAGGCTCTCCCAAGGGCTTGGGCACTTCAGCAGGGCCTGGTGCCAGCCAGTTGGACAGGAGGTGGTGGAAAAGTATCCCAAGAGGAGTGGGTGAGGCTCTCTTCGGCCCCATGTTAGAAGAGGGAAGGGTTGTCACACTGTCATCCTCCCTTCCATTTCCCCTCCTCTAAGCACTGTGACTGTGTCCCTCACACAGACAGGGCAGGGAAATGATGGATAACTGTAGGACAGCCCTACTGATGCAGGTACACCCTGGGATCTGCAAAGCTGCCATATCCCGCTCTCACAAAGGGGGCAGCACCCTGGCCATCTCCCCARATATTAGCTGTTCTGGACACTCCCATGGGGACCGGTGGGTGGTGTAAAGGGGTCAAACCCGCTTTCCCCGCCTTAAATGTTTCCTTGTCCTTTCCAGAGCTGGAGCAGAGCTACTCTGCAGGCAGCTGAAACAACATGTGTGARGTGAGGTGGGGCACGGATAGCCCCGGGAGCAGAGGGGTGCCTTCCTCAGGCAGGGAGACGCTGCTGTGTGTTGGTTATATCCCACCCACAGGTACACACACTGCCCCACTGCTGAACAGCTCGTTCTGCTTGCAGACAAGTCACAGGGAAGCCAGAGCAGCTGCTGTTCATGTGCAGGCAAGTGTAAAGGTGAAGCCCCTTTAAATATCAAAATAACCCTGAACAGTGAATCCAAAAGSGGCAGTGCAGACTGAAACACAGTGAGAGCTGCTGCACACTCTGTCAGGGCAGGAGGGAGAGGGATTCACCCAGACAAGGATGCAGCAAGGCAGCTGCAATCCCCCTGACTGACATGGTTGTGTGCAGAGCACAGACCCCCTCTCTGCTGTTTTCACCAGCATCAACAGCACTCTGAGCTCTGTCCCAGTCTTACCCTCTCACCAAACATTACCCTTCCACCCTTCTCATCCTCCCCCTCGCTGCCTGAATGCAACTGAAATGAGGCCTCAGTTGCTCCCATCTCAGAATTACTGCTCTTCATGAGCAGTAAAGACTGATAATGCTTGGCTCTGTAACTGCAGCCTTCAGCTGAATTATCCTCAGCATGGACAAAAGTTTTAGAAAGGATCTGGCAGCTCAGCTAGCAGCTAACACGGAGTGCAGGCAGATGAAGGCCTCAGACTTGACAAACCCAAAAAATAAATCTTTCAAGAGGCACATCGCTGGCCCCAGGGAGATCCCTGCAGAACTAGARCTCTTCATCCAGGAAATGGTGGGCTCTGCTGCTTTTCATACATTGTGGCCACTTTACTCCTTTTTTAATCATAAGTGAAACAATATACTCTTTTCTAGTTATGTTCTGGGAAACCACTGCTGCATCTTTAACATTCCCAGAAATAATTTAATCCATAGCCAGAAATAATTTAATCCATAGCCAACTTCAGAATGAAAAATTTCACCTGAAGTCCTAAAATTCTGGAAAACTTGATCTCCTAAAACTCCATTTTCCAAGTGCAAATGCTATTTTTGCCCAACCCTYAGCAGCTCCACCTACATAATACATAGAACTGCTTCCAGTTTAACTTGTCAAATAATTACTAGGTTTTCTGCTTTGTTTTTTTTTTGGCAAAATTTGAAAACTAAAAGACTGGAGAAAAGGAAATATCAAAAATGTCATCTTGAAGACAGATATGAATATTATAATATCCCAGCTCATTGAACAAAACAAATGCCAACATTTTTACTTCTCAGGGGTTTTACCATAATGCTTTCCATTAAAAAAAGGGGACATTCAAAATGTGTTTTACACTAAAATTGATTTTCAGTGGTAGTGAGCAACCAGTCTTTGCTTCCCCAGCAGTGAGGAAAAGCCGCTGTTTGGTCTCTCCCCATTCCCTGCCATTACAAACCTAGTTAATCCTGACCAATCTTGCTTTCCATCAGAACACAAACTCACATGTACCACCCACATCCAGGTGAATTTACTGGGGACTGTTTCTGCACCCCTGCGGCCACAGCAAACTGGGAACAACTGGGAGCATCAACACCCCAAAGGATGGAAAATACTCTTCTTCATCACCTGAGTTGATTAAGATTTGATCTTAACAAATCTTAACAAATCTTAACAAAACAAAACCCCTCTAACAGCAGCATGCTTATTAAAGAACAAAGGCTGCACAGTTTGTTACTGCAGATCATCCCCCTACCCATACAAATTCTAGTTCTGTGTAGTTCTGCAATGCAGTCATGGTGACGTGTTCTAATCACATCACCCTCCCCAGCCATAAAAATAATCCTGCCACAGTTCTGAGCTGATTTCACCAGGAGATCCAGCATGGGATATCAGAAACAAGATATATGTGCCATACAAACACCCCTTACAATTTCAGTAACTACGCAAATTTAGCTAAAATACCTTAATGCTGTGGCTCTTTGCCTCCTCTGCAGATCGGATGTTTCCACATTAGTCAGGTTAAGTACTGACTTTTGGGGAACACAGATTATGATCTTATCTTCGAAGTTTTAACTCATTTCTATTTGGGATTAAAAAGAACAAACAAAATTCTCAGTTACAATGCTTCTTATAGCAAGGAGACAGAAAGGAAAAACATTTTGTCTCAATGCCCTGGAAATGCAAAACCAAAAGTATTCACAAAGGGTTAAGCTTAAGGACCAAGCAGCTGAGTTCTCTGGAAAGAAAAAAAAAAGAAAAGAAATAAAATCAAATGGACAGTAAAGCCTATTTCCTCCAAGCTAATAGAATTACAGAAATTATCATAAGAGCATGTGTCTGGGGATGAAGTGAATGATGCTCTGAGAGATAGKGCTAACAAGATAAACAAGCTCAGTGCCAAGAACTGAACCCAGTCTGGTGCTCTTTCTCCCACTGCTACCTCTTAACACAGTGCCAAATGGGGTCTTTGCTTATCCTTCCCTAAGGGCAGGCAGTGAAGCACCTACTGGCCCAGCTCCTGTCCCACAAGGCTTCCTTTTCATCTGTTCTAAAAGTGAGGGTAGAATCCCACATTTTTCTCTCCCCTCTTCCTCCCTTCACACAGAAGTTGGCAACAACCCCTGCATGAGCCTTGCATGACTTGGTCATTCCAGGTGGGGATGAGGTGCAAAAGGTGACATGTAAGTACCAAGAATGCTGACGGGCACCTGGGAAATGCCTCACTTTGCAAACCAGGATTTTATGGTTGAACTTCAAACAACTCCTCCTTCTGTCCAGTGTCCCTCCCCATGAACAATATGATTTTGTGGGATCAAGCTGGGATCCTGTGCTCATATTCCCCTTCTCAAATTTCACCTTTTTAATCTACAAAAGTAGGAATGGTCCAAAGACAATTATTCTCAAGGGTTTGGTCAAGTCTGATTTTCATTCAAAGCCCCAGATTGTTGCCAGATCCCAGCTGCTCTGTTTACCACTCTGGACTCAGATCCTGCCAACAATTGTACATGCCTTTAATTACTCCTTGGGAATAGCACATCCATTTTATGTGGTCAAGCACCCAGCACATGCTCTTGCGAGATGACACACAAGCAGGAAAAAACCCTCAACATTAACAGCATAATTGGAAATTCAGGTCTCATGATCTCAGTTCACTGCTAAATCAGGCATCCCTAATGTCAATATTCATTTCAGTACAATTCAATTACAAGATTTGTATTAATTAAACTTCCCCTAGTAGATTGGCATGAGCTTCTGACAGATAAGGATCCTGTATGGCAGCTGGCTGGAAAACTCTTCAGCGCTGTCAGATTACCAGGCTCATTTATGCACCGTTTTAAGGATTCTTGCCCACAATCTGTGCCAGAAGACTGCTCTTTGCCTACAATAACATCTGTTTTCCCTGCACTTTATTTGCCGTTTCCGAAGCTCTGACAGCCTGGCTGGCTTGAAAGGGGGCAGCACAGCAAAGCTAATGGGAGCTCAGTGYGCAGAGCTGTGCTCAGGGTCCTGCCGGCTGCTGCTTCCAGGCATTTCACGCATCGGAGGAGAGGAGCTCTCCCCACTCCCTGTGCTCCTACAGTCCTGGCAGCGAAGCTCAGCTTCAAGAGCCCCTGTCGACAGGCAGTAATTCATAACACCATGGAGAGCCTGAACGCTCTCCTTCTAATTGCTGCTGCTTGCTTTCTCTGTCAAGGTGAGTGATCCTTAATTTGTTATTTTTTGATGGTGAAGGGAGGGTTGAAAAGGGGAGCAGGAGATGTCTTTGGTGCAAATTATTTTTAAGAGCTGTGGAAGCACTCTCCAACCTTAGGGGCAAATGTACAGAATCCTGGTACAGCTCTTTCCGTTACATAGTTTGTTGTTAGTGGGATTTTTTTTTAAGTTTTTCCTTGCAAAGTAGTTCGGTAGTTCTGATTAAAGATGCCAAACAGGACACATGAAGCCATTTTAACATGAAAGAAAAGCATCTTACACATTAAAGGTGTGGTTACAATATTGCACAGAAGACAAGAAAGTAACAACATTAAACGGATTTACATATGTGCTGCAAATAGTACGTCTTCTCTCTGCAAATATGGAAAGCACAAAATATTTAAATAAAAAGCACATGAAAACACTTCTCTAGAGACAGTGGATGCTAGATTTAATTACAATGCCGTGACATACAAAAAGGCTGGCAATTTGGGATTGGCTATAATATARTAGTTAATTTCTAGATTTAAAATTATTTACCTAAAAGATTGGGAGGTATTTATTCCAGGAAATCTCAGTCTAAGAGATAGGAGATATTCAGAAATAATATGGGCAAGATTGGCAGTTAAAAACTATTCATTTTTTAGTTAGCAAGTCGGCTTGAATGATTTCACTAATCTGAAAACAAAATTGCCCTCCAAGTGAACAATTAAAGGCAAAAGGGGGAAAAACCAACCAACCAAACCCAAACAAAAGACCTTTTAGTTGAACAGTTTCACATGACGGGAACCCTCTTGTCCTAGGGAGAGGTGAGGTCTCAAAGACTGGAAAATAATACCTGCTTTGTGTAATCTGTCACCTRCAGCTACTTCTGCCTCCCAAATTTTTCTCCACAGAAATACAACTGGCAAAACATAAACATGTCCTTGCAAATATTTGTAGATTCATTTTTTGTTTCAAAGGAACTGTGGAATATGTTCATCAGACGTCAGTTTGTGCCTTTACCAAATTTGCAAAGTGCCATCCATTAATGATAAAACAGGCCTTTTTTTGTTTTTTRGTTGGAATTCAGGAGGATGTGCGGTCCAGAAGAGAGTTTAAGAGATAGTCCTCAAAAAATAAAAGGCCACTGGCTTCTAATAGTGTCAAGATGGTTATTGCCTAGACAGTTGGATAGTAAAATGGCAGGGTAGACACAGGCTCTCACACCTCATCCTGAAACAGGTGAAGTATCTTGTTAAAGAATTTCAGTTTGCAGCTTTTTTGTTGGCCATAGGGTATGATGAACTGCAGTTCTGAGTGGCAAAAGGACAATAGGAATCTATCATAAGTAAAAAACTTAGAATAGTAAAGGGGCAATTAGCACGTTCCTTTGAGTGTGCTGAGAAGTCTTGGAATGTAACAGTTAATCAAATTTTAATCTTTGTTTTTGTATTTTAAGCAGCAGGCCATTACCTCACTATAATAGGGCAATTATGACTCAAACTAGAAAGCAGACTTCTCATTTCCCGGGTCTCCTCCTATTGCAAGGCATTTTGACCCCTTACCAGCGGTCTGGGCTGTTGGGTTACACTTTTCCCTTCCTCTTCTCCATAGCCCTGTGGCCTTGTCAGGTCTGGGGGRACTGGGCCTGTGAGAAGAAAGGGCTTTTGTACCTCCAGTTCTTCAGTAACTCCCCGAAACTATTTTTCAAACTCGTTTGCAGACATGAAACGTGTGTGAAACCCTCTGTCATAGCATTACCTTTCACCGCTCTTCTTCTCAATCCCATGTCCCCCATGGCACACTGCTCGCCGCTCAGGCCAGGCTGGGCTCTGCCCGGCGCCCAAGGATGCTGGTAGCCTGTTCAGTACTGGGCCAGCTCTGCCCCGCTCGGGGCTGGCCCGGCGCTCACCCCGTGCCCTCCGCAGGCTGCGGCGGCTCCGAGGCYGAGCACCGGCTCTACGCGGCCCTCTTCCAGAGCTACAACCGCTTCGTGCGCCCCGTCAAGAACGTCTCGGACCCCGTCATCATCCAGTTCGAGGTGTCCATGTCGCAGCTGGTGAAGGTGGTGAGTACCGCCCCGCCGGGCGCAGCGGCAGGGCCAGCGCCCTCTCCCGACACACCTCTCTTTTCCAGGACGAAGTCAACCAGATAATGGAAACCAACTTGTGGCTGAAGCACGTAAGTAGCGCTCAGTGACAGCCCAAACGGCACCTACTCACTTCCCCTCCAGCGCGGGAATGTTTCC